CAACATTTAAACGATGAACGATGCATTTAATATTTAAAAAAAAATTAATGAGATCATTTCGGAGAAGTGTGCAGGGAGCAACGTTACGTGATCTCTGACCTAGTTTGCATTGCCCCAACAGACGATTAGGCGTCAATGAAATTAGCATGATAAAGATATGTAACCCAACACTGCTTGCCACAAAAAAGAAAAAGAAAGATATACAATGTGTTTCTTTAGTTATTCTTGACACATATAATAAAATGGTTGCTTTAATTAAGAATATTTATGAATTTTAAAAAGAAACGAACGCCTCATGCCTTCTAAATATGCGCACTTTTTAACCCTTCTTGTCATCTTTGTCCCAAAATCTAAAACTCTGCTATTTAAAAAAAAATAAAATAAAAATAAATCTAAAAACAAAAAGGCACCCATCGTGAAATATGTTGGTTAGTCCTACGGTGTTCATCCTGCCGGTTAAGTTGTGCGAGCTCTAAAATGCACTCATTGGTGGACGCACTTTCTCTGATATCTCTCTTTGCAAAAAAGGCCGCAACTCATTCAACAATGAGTATCTAATTTTGAAATCTCAACACGCACGATTCTCTAGGCCTGAAAGACAGTATAGTGTAATGGTGCGTTCAAAACAGTGCGCATAATAAAATTTCCCATAACTGCGCTAAATGAATTGTAAAAAAAAATAAAGATATAACAAATGAGTTTGGTGCGTAATTTTTTATTTGTTTGTTTGTTTGTTTGTTTGTTTGTTTTCGTTTTGTTTTTGCTTCTTGTGTGCGGACATCGCCTTAAATAAAAAAAAAAAAAGTGTGTGATAAAAATGAATTGTTAAAATGAATGGGACATTAGAATATTAATATAGTTCAGGGGCGGTGGCGTACCAAGGGCGAGGGGGAGGGGGGTAAGCACTAATTGGGAATCGTATAAATTTCATTACTTGAATTTTTGTCCGGTAACTTTAGTACATGGGAAGTTCAGGCATTGCCGCCGACATTTTGTTTTGGGGGCGGGCTATATAGAATAGAAATTTTTTTTTAAAATGTAACAAAAGCTGTTTAAAGAGATGTTCTTTAAAAGACGAATCTAAACGGTTAAAAGTAAGGGAACAAAATAAAATTTCTTCAAATGCATTATACGCAACGAAAGTCTGTGCAGTCGGGTCGCATGAAATTCTATGTAGCCAAAGGATTCGAATCGACCGTAGAATAAACCTTAAAATGTTTTATTTGCATTATTTTTTTTTTGAAAATATCTTAATTTTAAGGTAGCTTAATTATCAAGGAGTGGGCGCCACAATGAAATTGAGGCCTAATTCGGGTTCCTATGACTGCCCTCATTTCAACAGACGTGCGCACTGTGTAAAGTGTAGTGCTGGTGGGTCGACGCAGACAGGATACTTTTAATTGGAACCATCTTGCGAAGATTCCCTTAGCACGGTCGACCACTTTCATCCTGACAAGGGTACACTAATTGGGTCATGAGCTCTCCTTGGCCCTAAGATAAACATTAAGATGACAAAACGGCTGCCAGCTCGAAATTGGCTTTGCTTTTGGAAATTAATTTTATAACTTGCTGCCGTATATAACATTAAACTAATAATATGATGAGGATATTTAAATTGGTCAGATAAGAGGTCCAGCGACCAGCGAAGCTATATGAAATGCTCATTTGTAAAGCTGGGATGACCGTCCAGTTCATAGGAAAATGAACTTGAATGTGTTTGACGAAGAAAGGCCTCGGGACGAATTATTCTCTGAATTGTTCATTTCGAGTTTGAAGTAATTTTCTACGCACAATGAAGATATACACAACCAGACAACCCCATGTCAACCCTTACCTCCAGCCCTTCCTTCCACCTAAAGCCCACAATCCCTGCCGCCACACAGGGCCGAACTTAGACTTGCTGAAGCCCTAAGCTATACACTATCAGCTTTAAGTCCACTGGCCCTCCCCCTACCATTCTAAATAACATCAGCTGGTCAAAGACGAATTAAAATATTAGCCTTTTAAATACATAGACATTTGTTGCTTTTAATTTCAAATTAAAAAAAATAATATAGAATGTGTTTACATTCAATGTCAAAAGATGTGCTATTCAGTTAGGCTATTCAATGTCAAAAGATGTGCTATTCAGTTAGGCTATTCAATGTCAAAAGATGTGCTATTCAGTTAGGCTATTCAATGTCAAAAGATGTGCTATTCAGTTAGGCTATTCAATGTCAAAAGATGTGCTATTCAGTTAGGCTATTCAATGTCAAAAGATGTGCTATTCAGTTGGGCTATTCAATCTATCGCTTTGTGTACACAGAATGCCTCTCAGTTTATTTGTAACAATTCTCTTTCTCTGTGAAAATGATCTTTCTCCTGAACAATTTGTTACCGCGAAACACAGGAATAGTCGAAATATTGCTCACGAATTTAGCAAAAACTAACTCAATGTTGTCTTGAAATATGATTTGATGCAATCAATTTGTTAAAAAATGTTCTTTTTCAGGATAACTGTTTGAAGCGCCGAAGTTAACCCGTGAAATTAATATCAATATGGCGTGGACATTCTTTTATTTTAATGTATCTGCTGCTTGACCTAGCTGTGGCCCTGAAACTTCTAAATCAACTAAAAAATTTTAAAAAATTAATTAAAAAATAATTGTAAATTTTTGCTCTTCTAATTACATTTGCCTCAAGGGTGTCTATGATATGAGTGATGGAATTCACTCGAAATTTTCTCTTGAAGAAAGCTGTTCAACAGCATCAGGTGCAGCTCCACCACTGACTTGTTTTCTTCCCCTCCTCTTTCTTTTCACTGCAGACTTATATAAGTAAAAGTGGTCTTATGACAATAATAATAGACTTATCTTCTACACACAGACAATCAAGGTTTTAACTTCTTCTTCAATGCCATTAAAATGTAGTGAACATCTTTTTGAACACGATTACATTTAAATAAGGCACAACATATACTGTTATACACACGCTATACTCAAAGACATCAAATTGCAATGAAACCAAGAACCTGGTAAAAAAAATTAATAATAGTAAAACAGAGAAGAGCAGAGAAAACCATAGCAGTGGCAAGGCGGTAAGGACAGTTGATCGTTTTGTGATGAGATTCACCCTATGGATGTAGTATCCTAAATATCCTGGTCGTCTGCTGCATCCTGAGTCTATTTCCAGTCGTCTTGACTAAATCTCGCCTTTGGATCAAATAATCAAGGACGAGAGAGTGAGGCTGACGAATTGTGCACCTCTCCCCTCACTTTAAATAACATACAGCTCAGGCCAAGGCTTCTAGTACTCGAGTCGAAAATTGCCTTGGTCGTCTTCACGTGCTGAGGACAAACAACATAGGATCCTAATTAGAGGTAGAGGTCGACAAAAGGTGCCTGATGCTAAAGAAATTACGTAAAGCAGACAATTAAATTCTAGTATTTAAATTATAAAATTTTAATTTGACGAAAATTTGCGAAAAATAAGTAAAAGAAACTTAATTGAATAAAGGAAAAGGAAAAAAAAAGAATAACGCTACTTTTAAAAGGATATTTTCTGAGGCAGGATGTGAGGCCCTTTAGCGACCCGACTGCGGCTCGGACAGTCGGCCACAAATCGGTTTTGACTCCGAAAAACTTGGGTCTTGACCGGTTCTTGAAAATAAATTTGGCTCTCATTTTTTTTTAAATCGTCCTGCTGCAGATTTTTGGCTCTTTTGACTAATGAGTTAGCCCAACACTGCCCTAAGCTGTAGCTTATTAAGCCTACAGGTATATCCGGCACTGCCTCCACCTCTGCTTACACGCCGCAATCATCCCACTCAGTTGTTAACTCGAACGTCACGGCAAATTGATTCCACCGTAAACAGCTACCAGGTCTGTCTGTCGTGACAGCTGAACAGTTGTCTTAAGGGATTGTGAAATGACGCTGCACATCTGAGTCCAAGTTGGCGCGTGCTGACGCCATGATTTCCCGGCAGACCCTAATGTGTGCTTGACCGTCTCCATCACGACCGAACGATGAGAAGGTTCTGTTGCGACACGTCCCGTGGTCCATCGGCGGCGCGGAATCTCTTTATTGGCAGCACTACGTTAACAATGTTGTGGTCAAGGGTTGATATGTGTTGGCCCAGTCTAAACAAAACATTTGATGGCCCAGTCTAAACCAAACATGTAATAGATCAGTCTAAACAAAACATTGATGGCTCAGTCTAAACAAAACATTTGATGGCTCAGTCTAAACCAAACATGTAATAGATCAGTCTAAACAAAACATTGATGGCTTAGTCTAAACAAAACATTGATGGCTCAGTCTAAACAAAACATTGATGGCTCAGTCTAAACAAAACATTTGATGGCTCAGTCTAAACAATGCATTTGATGGCCCAGTCTAAACAAAACATTTGATGGCTCCATTTTTTCACATCGGATGACACTGTGCTAGCATCGGAATGGCCATTCAATGAACGAAGTGGCTATTCGCACACGGGTACCAGAAGTGAGACTTTAGGATTTAAAAAAAAATATTTAAAACATTATTGTTAGGTTTATAAGACAAAATGAGGTATACAATGAAAGATAATTGAATGGACTATATGTTTGTGAAACTTACTTCTTCAGTTTAAACTAAAATAAACTACCACAAATGACATCCGAATAGCATTGAGTCTAAATGGACCCAGACACACAGCGCCGCCTTTCGCATCCGGGTACCATTTGACCAATCCTATTTGGTTGTCATTTGTGATAGTTGCCATGCACATTTGATGCCTGGGTCATGCCCATTTGATGCCTGGGCCATGCACATTTTATGCCTGGGTCATGCACATTTGATGCCTGGGTCATGCACATTTAATGCCTGAGCAATGCACATTTCATGCCTGGGTCATGCACATTTGATTCCAGGGTCATGCACATTTGATGCCTGGTTCATGCACATTTGATGTCTGGGTCATGCACATTTGATGCCTGGGTCATGCACATTTGA